TTATTATTATTATTATTATTGAAACTTCACAGCACTAGTACAGAATTACAATTTGCTAAAGTTAAAAGAAAGTTAGAAGTGCTGAAGGACTGCAACAACTAGTGTTACAGCCTTAGAAATAGGATTTAAAATAGAATTAGTGAAGTAATTAATAAAGTAAAAATAAGTTAAAAATAAAATTTATGCAATGTGACACTTGAAACAGGGGCATAGATAGTGGTAAGAGCAAACAGAGTCGGAGGAAAAATATAACTCAAAGTGGTTGGGTCCAATAATCCCGGTTCCCTGAGACCGCTGATTAAATCCCACTGGTAGAATAGGGACTCTCCCTTGGGTCCGTTGTCACTTGTTTCTATGGCAATACCATGACAACAAGCCCCACCCATTATTACTTACTTGAGGCGTCTAGTATTAGTTTATCAGAGGGCTTTATAGTGATGTTAGTACTGGGGGATATGATAACAATAGGAGCCTTGTTGACATGGGGCTCTAAATAGAATAAATCATTATTATTATTATTGCTATTGTTATTATCTTACCTGGTCTAACTGTAATGTTAACAAAATCTCTTCCATAGTTTCCTTCATCATCATAAACTAATGCTTCAAGACCGTATTTACCAGCAACCAACTGCAGAATGGAGAGAATATGAAAATAATAATACAAATTAAAATATGCATGTGTAATTGTCATTGCTAGCGGTGCTTGTAACTTATGAATATACACCTCCTATGAGGTGTTTATGGAATTTACAAACTGAGGGGGAGCATGAGGGTTTAGAAAGTCCATAAACAACAAATAGGGTGTGTACATGATCTGTTTTAAACATGTTCATGGACCCTGAAGTGGTCCCAATGGCATTCAAAAACCTCATTCATATCCTTAAAATTATTCACGAGAAATGTCACCCAACTGCTAATAATACCTTATTAGGTAAATTTAAAGGCAACCCAATAGCAAAATGGCATCAAGCAAGCTACCTAGAATGTTGCCTGTTGTTCTAGGTTGGTTTATTTTACTGATACATCTGTGTTTACTTTATCATTAGATATTGGCAACTTAAATGAAATTGTACAGATATTGAAGCAATACAGGTTTCCTGAGGCTAAATGGTTTGAGTTTGGATTGAATCTTGGTCTCCTTTATCCTACACTGGAAGCCATTGATGCTAATCATAGAGGAAATACTTCACGTTGTCTCATGGAGTGTTTATCCAAGTGGCTGAGTAAAGCTGATGAAAATGTATATCCTCCTACTTGGCAGACATTGGCTAGTGCTCTTAGAAAGTTAGAAGCAAAAGCAGTGGCTGAAAATATTGAGAAAACAAGTAAAGTCAATTCTAATTCAATATAATGTATTGTAATACTCCTTTCCCAGTGGCTAGCCAGCTACTACAGCATTACAGTAGTAGAATATCTGGAGCAACACTCTCTGAAGAATCAATTGATCTGTTACATACAGAAGGACTGATATCTGAAGAGACATTGAGGGAAGTGAAGAGTTGTGGATACACACTAACAGATGATGTAATGAGAGAAATATACACAACAGTAGCTTATGATCATAACAAATTGAAATCATTTGTTAGGATATTATTAACAACAGGTACTGTTAGTATAGCCAATGACTTAATGAGAGACTGTGGTAAGAATAATTAAGATTTGATAGACATTTATTTTCTTATAGAGGAAATTTTTTACATGGCAGAAAGTTCCCCAGATGAAATTACTTTTGTGACAGAAGGGTCCCCTGGTGATGTATCAAGCATTGAACCAATCTCAGGTATTTAATTAAAATAATTTTAACAAGCAATAGTTATTAAAATTTTTAGTTGAAGAATCAAATGATAGACCCAAAGGTATATCTCAGTATTTAATACTGGTCATAATTAATTTTTATTTTATTCTTATTTGTTACAGAATTTGAGTTTCAAGTTTCAGAGGATTATAATTATCAATTCGACAAAATGAGAGGCAATTTTGGAACCTTTTATTTCAAAGTCACTCGACTGGTATCTCACACCATCAGAGTGAACCAACTTGAAGATTTCATAGAATTTCTTGATGATTGCTATCCTGAGCTAAACCCTGATCTAACCTCTGCTGCTACAGTGAAAGATGTCATGAAAGTTATTAAAACCAAATGCAATGTCATCAATATTGCACCAGTAGAGGTAGCAGTCAGTTTCAACAGTGAAGTAGAAACTGAAGCTAAGCCATTGGTAGCTGATTATAATGCAGCTGTTACTGAGTTTTGTCACACTTTCAAGCTTCAATTCTTGCTCGATAAAAAGCTTTCAACAAGTGATTTTCTTATTTGTGAAACAATTGAGTTTGTTCTAGACTGGGATCCTGCTGAGCACTTATTGAATGATATTCGTCGTTTAATGGAGAAAGCATTCAAAGGATTGAGCAGAAGGATCATAGTCAAAAGCATGTATAAAGGGAACTCCATCATTATCATTTGTGGTGCTCCTACTCATCTAATGAATGCTTTGCAATTGAGGGCTCGTGATAATCTTACTGTGCTGCAAGAAAAATTTGCTTTGATGCGATTGAAAATAGGACACTGCACAGTCTATGATAGGACCATCAGAAACAAAGTATACCAATTATTAATTAAAAATTTATATAAATATTATGATAGGAACTAAAGATTGTTACAGAGGAGACTGAAATGTGCGAAGAAGAGTCAGTAAAGATGAATCTATACCACAACGACAAAGAAAGTATGAGATGACTTATTTTGCTTATAAAATCAAATCAATGTATGTACATCAGATCTCCTTGCTAGTCAAGTAGCACAACTTTTAACTTTAAAACAGAAACAAGGTAGGCTAGGGACAATACATAACATAAAATCATTAATTTTAATAATTATTTTAGAATTCATCAATAGTAGCATGCAGGCATCAGGTATAGCATAAAAAATTATTATATCATTGCATTAATGTATATAATTATACTTTAGATTTTAAATCTAAAATCAAACAAATTGAAAGAGAAAAGGCTGCAAGTACAAAAAAGCGAATGTTATTAAGTGAAAATGAACATTTACAATCTACTCTAAGGATCAGAATAAGTATATACATGATTCATTAGCTTCTAATGACATAATGCATGTACTTTAAAACAGGTCGAAAGGAAGTACTACAAGACAATAAAAAAGAAATTGGGAAACTACAGGAAAGTATATCATCTATTAGTGTACAGATGCTTAAAATGCGACCTTCTGACAGTAAGTATATCTTTATTAATATTCTAATCAGACATCAATAGATAAAGAAGTGAAGTCCACACAGACAGTGCTATCATTCAGTGGATCTATCTGTGTAGCTCAAGATGATTATAGTGAAACAACTATTTCATTCAAAAAGGGTGAACTACTTCAGTTAAGTACAAATGGACATGAGGTACAATCACTGGAGACTGGACAGAAGAGTGCTGTTCCAATGAAATACATTGGATACTCAAGAGTAGAATTACTTTACTTGTTTCAGTTTGTGATGACGACAGGGACAGGATTGTCACTCCTACCTGGTCACTTTCAACTTGATGATGAAGAAAAAGCAGAGTATTTTATACTAAAAATTACTAAAGATCGTACTCTACTACAATCATTGAGGGAATCAATCACAAAATATAAATGTAAATAAACATGTGTGGTCATGCTTGTTTAATGAAACTTGTTCTACAAACAGTATTCAAGGCTAGTTATAACTTTGAAGCACAAACCTCAGATAACTTAACTTTAAAGAAAGGTTTGGCAACAATAAAAATACAATTATTACATAATATTGTACTTTATAGGAGAAGTAGTTAAAGTTGTTAAATATCATGAAGATGATGAAAGATGGTGGTATATGCATTCACTTCATACAGATGAAGAAGGATATGTCCCAATAAATTATATAACACCAATTGAAGGAAAATGCTCACTAATGTAAGAAATTAAAGCTACATGTATAACAAAGGATTAAAGGATTTAATTATTTATTAACAATAGGTCCTACAAGTACATCTACTATCATACAGTGAGTCGTGATGAAGCAGAGGAGAGACTGAGTCAAGCAAACACTCAATCAGGTACTTTCCTAATTAGAGAGAGCATATCTGGAATGAATACTCTCTCGGTTAAAGATGAAGTCACTATCAGGCACTACCATATATACATTGAGAATAATAAGTATTACATGAACCCTCGAGTCAAGTTTGTCTCACTCAATGACCTGGTACATCACTACATGATGAAAGCTGATGGTCTGACCTGCTCACTAACAGTTCCTATACCCAAACAAGTAAACATACCCATTGCAATGAATAAAGAGTTAGAAATTAATGAGCTGGATATCGAGTTTGAACAATGCATAAATGCTGGACAGTTTGGAGAGACATGGAAGGGTAATTGTAAAGGTAAAGGGCCAGTTATTATTAAGACAAACATAGCAACAAATATCACACAAGAAACATTCATTAAAGAGGCATACGTATTGCTAAAACTTTATCATAAGAACATCATCAGTCTATATGGTGTTTGTACTGAAGACTATCCTTTTTATATTGTAACAGAGCCAATGAATGAAAATCTCAAAGATTACCTAACTACAAATAATCCTACACCAGCAGAGTTGGTAGATATTGCTATTCAAGTTACTGATGGTATGATTTATCTAGGAGAACAAGATTACATTCATTGTGATCTAAGAGCTATCAATATACTATTAGGAGACCGTAACACTGTCAAGATAGCAAACTTTCATCTTGCCCAACACCTCAACAGCAATAAATACTGGATTGTTAAGGAAGGTACTACGCTAGCTTTTAAATGGACAGCACCTGAATGCCATACCTCAAAACAACTAAGTATTAAATCTGATGTTTGGTCATTTGGTATATTACTATGGGAACTGGCTACCAAAGGAAAAATACCATATCCTGGTATGACTAATGCACAAGTACAGGAATCAGTATCAAGAGGTTATCATATGCCCATACCCCAAGATTGTACTGAACCATTTAAACAACTTATGATAAACTGCTGGAAACGTAGTGAAGACAAGAGGCCAAGCTTTAAGAAAATTTTAGTTTACTTGTCACATACTCATGATACTGAATAATACATATTTTACATGAATTTCTTACAATTTGGGGTTGTAGCCCCAGGTCGTTCCTATTTTATCCACATTAAAACAATTTATGCTTATACACAATGTCCTTGTTTTGTAAATAATAATTTTAAAGTACATAAACATGACAGATCAACATGTAGTATGCCAAGTACTGAAAATAGGCGACAGGTACAGGGGCATGTATATAGGTACATGTATATTGCACATACTAATCTCTTATTCCCTCCCTCCCTATGACATACGTGACTCAATGAGATGGTTTTATCATTGACTCCATTGAGGTTTCCCTTCTTAGGACCAAACAATCTCCTCCAATGATAATGATAAGTAACACCTGGTGATGAATCAGGCCATGTACTGGAGAATATCTTAATATGGTCAGTTGGTAGTGTAATAACTGGATGTTTATTAGCAACTGCTATTGTAAGGACTGTAGAGAGAGAGGAGAGGAGGAGAGATGGAGGGAGGAAAGAGAAAGGAGAATAGAAGAGAATGGAAAAAGGAAAAGAGAAATGAGAGGAGAAAAAAGGTATATTAATAATCACAAAAATAGTATTTTTATGACCTGGAGGCAAAGCCCCTATATAAATTGTTCTTATAATTGTTTTCATTTATGTGTGATCCATTCTTGTTTGTATGTGACACTTACTACATGTTGTATTGGAGAAATAACAAATTGAGATGCCTTGCACCAATGCCCTTTACATAAAATTATGTAAAATAAAATTAATTGCAATAATTGATGTGCTCAATAATAATAATGATCATTACTCTTATTAAGCAGAAAATTAATAAAAATAAAATCAAAGATGAACATTATGAGACAGTATAAAAATGATTAGTTATTAAACTGATATACTTCAAGACCGTCATGTAATTATGAGAATGATAAATAATAACTGATTATAAAGTACCTGGTATAATTATCTTATGCACTAACTATGAATGGTTGCATAATGAAACATACCCTAGTATCATGCCTGTATTGCCATTAAAGTACTTACCATATTAATTTTCATTGTATGGGGATACAATGAACTCACAGTCATTGATAATAGACAGACCTGATCATCATCATGCACTATTGATCATTCAGTATTCCTAGTTAAGTAGATACATGTATTTAATTTCATTACTACGGCTGTCTGATCAAAAAATGTAACCCATTGCTACTAATTATACCATACAAGGTTCTAAGGTATTCATTTATAGTGGGTAGTGTACTATTGACAGCAAAATGGCATCAAGCAAGCAAGCAAGAATGTTCCCTATTATTTTAGGTAGTTATATCTTTTTTATTTCTTTTAGTGTGTGTTTACTTTATCATTAGATATTAGTAAATTAAATGAGATTGTACAGATATTGAAGCAATACAGGTTTCCTGAGGCAAAATGGTTTGAGTTTGGATTGAATCTTGGTCTCCTTTATCCTACACTCGAAGCTATTGATGCTAATCATAGAGGAAATACTTCACGTTGTCTCATGGAGTGTTTATCCAAGTGGCTGAGTAAAGCTGATGAAAATGTGTATCCTCCTACTTGGCAGACGTTGGCTAGTGCTCTTAGAAAGTTAGAAGCAAAAGCAGTGGCTGAAAATATTGAGAAAACAAGTAAACAGTTCTAATTTAATAAGATTAAAGTTTATACTCTATTTCTAGTGGTTGACCCTGCTAGTCAGCTACTACAGCATTACAGTAGTAGAATATCTGGAGCAACACTCTCTGAAGAATCAGTTGATCTGTTACATACAGAAGGACTGATATCTGAAGAGACATTGAGGGAAGTGAAGAGTTATGGATACACACTAACAGATGATGCAATGAGAGAAATATACACAGCAGTAGCTTATGATCATAACAAATTGAAATCATTTGCTAGCATATTATTAAGATCAACAGGCACTGCTAGTATAGCCAATGACTTAATGAGAGATAGTGGTAAGAGCAAGATTTATGATGATACATATTTAGTTTCTTGTAGAGGATATTTTTTACAGGGCAGAGAATTTCCCTGATGAAGACATTACTTTTGTGCAGGCAGAAGATTCCCCTTTTGAAAATTGTGAGGAGCACAATGTATCAACTATTAAACTCTCAGGTAAATTAAAATAATATTAGCAAAGCAAAAATTATTAAAATCTTTACAGTTGAAGAATCAAAAGTTATTCTCAAAGGTATCTCAGCCATTAATATTGGCTATAGTGTTTAATTTTATTCTTATTTGTTACAGAATTTGAGTTTCAAATTTCAGAGAATTATAATTATCACTTTGAAAAAATGAGAGGCAATTTTGGATCTTTCTATTTCAAAGTTACTCGACTGGCGTCTCTTACTATCAGAGTGAACCAACTTGAAGATTTCATAGAATTTGTTGATGATTGCTATCCTGAGCTAGGTCCTAACCTAACCTCTGCTGCTACAGTGAAAGATGTCATGAAAGTTATTAGAACCAAATGCAATGTCATCAATATTGCACCAGTAGAGGTAGCAGTTAGCTTCAACAGTGAAGTAGAAACTGAGGCTAAGCCAATGGTAGCTGATTATAATGCAGCTGTCAATGAGTTTTGTCACAATTTCAAGCTTCAATTCTTCCTTGATAAAAAGCTTTCAACAAGCGATTTTCTTATTTGCGAAACAATTGAATTTGTTCTAGACTGGGATCCTGCTGAGCACTTATTGAATGATATTCGTCGTTTAATGGAGAAAGCATTCCAAGGATTGAGCAGAAGGATCATAGTCAAAAGCATGCATAAAGGGAACTCCATCATTATCATTTGTGGTGCTCCTACTCATCTAATGAATGCTTTGCAATTGAGGGCTCGTGATAATCTTACTGTGCTGCAAGAAGAATTTGCTTTGATGAGATTGAAAATAGGACACTTCAAAGTCTATGATAGGACCATCAGAAACAAAGTATATACTGGTTATGAAATTATTTTTGAACTTTATTTGATTTTCAAACTTTATTTGAATATAATAGGAACTAAAGATTTTTGCAGAGGAAATTGAAATGTGTGAAGGAGAATTAGCAAAGATCAATTTTTACCACAACAACAAAGAAAGTACGAGATTGAGATAAATTATTTTCCTTATAAAATCAAGTCAATGAATGTATACCGGTATACAGGTCTTCTTGCTAGTCAAGCAGTGCAACTTATACCTTTAAAACAGAAAAAAGGTAAGGACATTACATTAACCATGTTAATCATTCATTTTAACAATTTTAGAATTCATCAGTAGTAGCATGCAGGCATCAGGTATTACATAAATAATAATTATTATTGCATTATTGTAATTATAATTAAAAAGATTTTAAATCTAAAGTCAAACAAATTGAAAGAGAAAAAGCTGCAAACACAAAAAGGCAAATTTTATTAAGAGAAACTGAACATTTACAATCTACTCTGAGGATCAGAATAAGTATATACATGATTCATTAGCTTCTAATGACATAATACATGTACTTTAAAACAGGTCGAAAGGAAGTACTACAAGACAATGAAAAAGAAATTGGGGAACTACAGGAAAGTATATCATCTATTAGTGTTCAGTTGTTAGAAATTCAAACTTCAAATTTTTACAGTAAGTATTCCAATAATACTTCATAATCAGACATAATTTATAGATAAAGAAGTGAAATCCACACAGACAGTGCTATCATCCAATAGATATATCTGTGAAGCTCAAGATGATTATAATTACCCAGCTATTTCATTCAAAAAGGGTGAACTACTTCAGTTAAGTACAAATGGACATGAGGTACAATCACTGGAGACTGGACAGAAGAGTGCTGTTCCAATGAAATACATTGGATACTCAAGAGTAGAATTACTTTATTTGTTTCAGTTTGCAATGACGACAAGGACAGGATTGTCACTCCTACCTGGTCACTTTCAACTTGATGATGAAGAAAAAGCTGAGTATTTTATATTAAAAATTGCTTATGATTCTACTCTACTACAATCATTGAGGAAGTTGGTCACAAAGAATAAATGTAAATGATAATTATGTATGGTGTGTGCTTGTTTAATAAATTTGTTTTATATACAGTATTTGTGGCTAATTATAACTTTGAAGGACTAAGTCCACATGACCTAACTTTAAAGGAAGGTTGGAAACAATAAAGAAATAATACTATATGTAATAATGTACTTTAATAGGAGAAGTACTTGAAGTTGTTAAATATGATGATGATGATGGATGGTGGTATATGCATTCACTTGATACAGACAGTAAAGGATATGTACCAATTAATTATATAGCACCAATAAAAGGAAAATACTCACCAATGTAAGAAGTTATAACAAAGAATTAAAAAATTTAATTATCTATTAACAATAGGTACTACAAGTACATCTACTATCATACAGTGAGTCGTGATGAAGCAGAGGAGAGACTGAGTCAAGCAGACACTCAAGCAGGTACTTTCCTAATTAGAGAGAGCATATCTGGACCAAATACTCTCTCGGTTAAAGATGGAGTTACTATCAGGCACTACCATATATCTATTGAGAATAATCAGTATTACATAAACCCTCGTGTAAAGTTTGACTCACTCAATGACCTGGTACAACACTACATGACTGAAGCTGATAGTCTGCCCTGCTCACTAACAGTTCCTATACCCAAACAAGCAAACACACCCATTGCAAAGAATAAAGAGTTGGAAATTAATAAGTCGCATATCAAGTTTGAACAATGCATAAACGCTGGACAGTTTGGAGAGACATGGAAGGGTGATTGGAAAGATAAAGGGCCAGTTATCATTAAAACAAATATAGCAACAGATATTACACAAGAAACATTACTTGTAGAGGCTGGCATATTGCAAAAACTTCATCATAAGAACATCATCAGTCTATATGGTGTTTGTACTGAAAGTTATCCTTTTTACATTGTAACAGAACCAATGAATGAAAACCTCAAATATTATCTAAATAAAACTCTCATAACACCAGCAGAGTTGGTAGATATTGCTATTCAAGTTACTGAAGGTATGATTTACCTAGGAGAACAAGATTACATTCATTGTGATCTAAGAGCAGAGAATATACTAGTATACATTAATATAGGAGATCATAACACTGTCAAGATAGCAAACTTTCATCTTATCCAACATCTTAATGGCAAGAAATACTGGACTGTTAAGGAAGACACTAAGGTAGTTCTAAGATGGACAGCACCTGAGTTTTTTACATTAAACCGACTGAGTATTAAATCTGATGTTTGGTCATTTGGTATATTACTATGGGAACTGGCTACCAAAGGAAAGGAACCATATCCTGACATGGCTACTGAAGAAGTAAAGGAGGCAGTATCAAAAGGTTATCATATGCCCATACCCCGAGATTGTCCTGAACCATTTAAACAACTTATGCCTAACTGCTGGAAAAATCATGAATATAAAAGGCCAAATTTTAACAATATCATTGATATACTTCTCAAATACAAAATAAGTTATTTGTAATTTTTTGGTAGCATATTTAATGTAGGTATATATATCATGTTAATGAATAAACAAACAGAAAGCAACACGTGTACCAGTACATTTGTTTTTATGGAACAAATTTTGTTTA